GTACATGCATGAGTGAATACATGTATTCCAGCTCTGTACGACCCGGCCTTTACACATACGCATGTTGGCCGTACCAAATCTAATGCACGTACGTGTTTTTTTTAACACATGCACGTACGTGTTAGTACGTAGCTTTCCTTGATACATCTGTACGTGTCTTGGTCATGCATGGACAATACAAGCACATGCACTAAAGGCATGCACGTAAGTGATCATCTAAACACACATACGAGGAGACTGTGGACTTAGAAAATTCATTCATTTCTAAGAATACATTTTCTTGCCAAATCACATACAAAAGTATGTCGAACAACTGGCATAAATTTAAAGAATGTACGCGTGCTTCATATTTCTAGTAGCTTTTAGCTGAATCTAAAGGAAATTGACAATCTTAAAGTTGTTGTCTCACGCAGACATGGGCGGTGGATACAAACGAACATGCTTGCAGTAGTCTGGGGTATCACCATCCATGCACAAAGGTAGTGTTTTCCATCAACGAAGCTCCAATGAGTGACATCCTTCTTTCATCAACCAAACATAATGACTTGTATGTTTTGCCTCCAATTTTGCAGGTACGAAATGAGAAGGACGAAGATTTTCTTTCCCTTCTTCATCATTGGTATGAACTTTATGAGAAATATGAAGTCCAGAAAAACAACGCAGTGCTGGGCTTTGGTCAAGCTGAGACGATAGCAGATGACGAAGATGAATCTCTTCCATATGACATATTTGAGGTTGAGAAACTTTTAGACATATGTTATGGTGATCCAACAAAGAATGGTCAAGTAGGCCTCTGCTTTAAGGTATCACATACTTTATTGTTCGACGTTCTTAGAGCATCTCCAACAGGCGCCCAAAACTAGGCCACGCGCTAAAATCCGAGTTTTTTGGACGCCGGATAGCTCCAGCAGAAGCTGTAAAACAGTGCGCGCGCAAAAAATGATTGCGCATGCTGAAAAACGCTATCAAAAGCTGCAAATTTGAGGCGCTGGTTGCGCTCGCTTCACAATTTACACTGCGTGTTTTTTGGGGCGCAGGTTTTTGGGCATCTGCTAAAGCAATTTTGGGTCCGGCGCACTAAAAGTGCTACAGTGGCGCGCTAAAATTATTTTAGGGCGCGGATTTTTTTTGCACCTGTTGGAGATGCCCTTATGCAAGGTTCTTATATATTACAGAGTTGATATTGTATTGTACCTTCTTTGTATTATTCTACGCTTGTTTCCTACTACGTTAGTGTATAATTTTTTTAAATATGTGATCTCCTTATATATGTGAGGTGCAAAGGATATGGACCTGCTGATGATACATGGGAGCCGATTGACGGCCTGAGTTCTTGTTCATTACATTCTATTTTGATTCTAATCTTTTAATATTGCCTTTTGCTTGTTAAAACTTTCAGTGATTCTCCTAAGTCTATTAAAGAATTCGTTGAGAGTCGATATAGCTAGGGAGGGTATTTTGCTGTTACCTGTAAGTATATATAATACTCTTTTTTGTTCTTTCTTGTTCATTTTGTTGTGGTATCTACTTATGCATATTTCTAATTTTGAAGGGCTCTGTAGATGTTATCAGTGGGGGAATAAATTGTATAAAATCACCACTTTGAGGGCTAGGTTTGCAGAAAACACGTCAAATTTTCTTGACAGAAAACACCATGTCTTGTGTAATCTTGTTGCAAGAAATACTGATCGGTGGATTTGGCTCTGTTAAGCGTGTTTATGACAGATGGGCCCATCAGTCAGGCTGACGTGGTGCCGCTTAACATTATACTCCACACATGTAACGGTGAAGTTTGCTAACATTGTCATCATGTGTGAAGCCATGTGGGGTCCACCTGCCATTAAAAGAAAAAAAGGACAAATATTTGGTCGTGCTCGCCATATCTGCACCAACCCACCATTGCCCGTCCTGCCCCTGACCCCGGTAGAAGCTGCCGCCACTGTTATCACGTCGAGGTTGAGGCAGAGGTCGTCGTTGCTGTGCGGAGATCGCGGTAGGGGGCCGAGGTAGGAGGCCGCCGCCCGTCCCGCGCCAGGCTGAGGCAAAGGCCGACGTCGCCCTTATGCTCTGCTCGGTGACCTACTGCTTCTCTCTATGGCATAACAGGCGCAACACGGTGGACAAGATCATCCTCGGGCCAACCCCCTTCGTCGTCATGGTGCCCCCGTTGTGTGGGGGCGATGCCGCGAAGCTTGACTTCGAGGCTCACCAGTCACCACACCGCCGAGAGGGCAGGGCACTCCATGTCGTTCTCGTTATCGATGGTCAGATGGGCGCGGAGGTTGTGCCTGGGGTGCCGGCCGTCCAGGTTCTTGCCGGATCCGAGCTCGGATTTGAGCGGGGAACACGAATATGAGGTACGGAAGGCGGCACAGGCTCGGTTCTTGCTAGATCCGGGCGAGGGCGGGCTAACGACGATGAATTTCTGGAGCTTGGGTGCCATGGCGATGGGCGGCGGTGGCGCTCCACCATGCTGCTGGTTCGGGGAGAGAGAGGGAAACTAGGAAGAAGTGAAGAACTAGAGAAAAGGTAGGAGGAAATGCTTACAAGCGGGCCCCACGTCCTGCAAAATAGTTCAATGTAACGGTGTGAGATATTGGTGCCACATCAGCCTGACTGGCGGGCCCCATATGTCATAATCGCGCTCAACCGAGCCAAATCCGCCAATCAGTTATTTTTGAAAAAGATTACACAAGACATGGTGTTTTCTGCAACAAAAATGTAGCAGTGTTTTCTGCAAATCTAGCCCTCAAAGTGGTGATTTTATGCCATTTACTCTCTGTGGGGGCCTTCTTGCCAAGGCATTAGTGGATTAAACAGGCACAGAACGCACAATGATCCACTTAAGGATGAACGCAACAAGCAGTTGGTTGTCTTTATGGATATTGTTGACTATCTGAGTCCCAAATATGTTCTAATGGAAAATGTAGTAGATATACTGAAATTCGAAGATGGTTTCCTTGGAAAGTATGCGCTAAGCCGCCTTGTCGCAATGAATTACCAAGCTAGGCTTGGGATGATGGTTGCCGGAAATTTTGGACTACCACAATATAGGATGCGTGCATTTTCTTCCTTCAGTGGTGTGTCTCTTTTCTATCTTCTTTTTACCTTGTAACACTATACTACTCAACAAGAATGTAGATTTGGCAACACAGGTACTTCCAAAATTCCCACTTCCCACCCATGACGTTGTTAAGCGAGGAGTAGTAGTGCCAAAAGCATTTTCGTTAAGATAATACATGAATAACCACCACATTTTTGTAATTTTTTTACTATTGTTTTGTCTTACTATAATGTTGTTCTTTTCAGCAATGTGTCGTTGCATATGACAAAACAAAAGATAAGCACTGGAAGAAAGCTGTTGTCCTTCGAGATGCAATATCTGATTTACCGAAGGTTCACATCATAACATTTTCCTCCTATGCTCATTGTTCCTCCAATGTTACTTGAGCCCATGTGGATTTTATTTTTATGTGTTATATATCATTTTTCCACAGGTAAAAAACAATCAACCTAATGATGTACTGGAGCATCGCAATAACCCCAAAACCGAATTCCAACGCTACATTCAGCTCAATCGTAAAGGTAATCCACCTAGATAACCCCAAAACCGAATTCCAACGCTATACTGATGGCCTGACAGACTATGCCATGAGTTTCATGGAAGGAAAATCATCAAAGTAAGTACGCCAAGGCTCCTTTTTGTATGATTTGTACAACATTGACCATTCATCGACGATCTGATCCTTATTTTGTCTGTTGAGTTGCGGACCATTCAGGCGCATATGGTGGGACGAGATTTCTCCGACTGTTGTCACCAGAGCTGAGCCTCACAACCACGTACATAATGCAAACTTTAAAGATACTGCTCATGTTTCTTGATTCCTGACTGCTGGTTGTTGCTGATCAATGACTGAGCATGCGTTGACGGACATTCTTTGCAGGTCATCTTGCACCCGACGCATGACCGGGTCCTGACCATCCGCGAGAAGACTGCAAGGCTTCCCAGATTACTACATGATCTTTGGCACTATAAAGCAGAAGTAAGTTGGTTAGCTGCTGTATGTGTTTGCTAACACAGAGACCATCTATCTCTGAACATGTATGTAACTGTATTTTCTTTCCATGTAGCTGATTCGGTTGCATTGTTCTTGTCTTGTATCACCTAGATATACCCAGGTCGGCAATGCGGTTGCCGTCCCGGTCGATCGAGCCATCGGATGTTCCCTCGGGCGTGCTTTCAAGGGTGAAATCCACGGAGACCGGCCCCTGTTCGAACTACGCGAGAGTTTCGGCCTTTTGGATCAAGCGTCTCTGCCACAAGATCGTCCGCAGGAGTAGAAATTCATAGCGGCCAAGTAGAACGATTGTTTGAGTGGTTATGTTGATTTTGGTCATAGTTATGCACACACTTGTGAAGAAAATTTTGTAACTAACTTAACTGAGCTGCATCTAAGAAGTGACTGGCACTGAAGATTGTTTTGGAGTTCTGCTTCTTTGTGTTGTTTTTCCACAAGGGTAGTTTCTAAAACTCTTCATACACTCTTGGTATTGCTGAAGAAAAATATTAATATCCTAAATGGTGGTAGTTGCAAGTAAAACCAAATCTAATTGCATTTTGGTAATGACCATGATTAACTTGCGCAAATGTTTACCAAGCAAGCACATTCTGAATACCCAGATCAAATAATAATAGTACTAATTCTGGAATAGATAGATCCACATGAATAGAAGGCAAATTAACAGAGGCAAGTTCAGTGCAGCTTCCATGGCACAGCCTCCTAGTCCTAAACACACTAGAAAATACTAGAATAGAGTTCTCTAATGAGACCTGGTTCAGCATAGAGTAATGGAATCCTCACAGCCCAAGAGCCACAACAGGGCACATAGTTCTACTTAATTATCAGTACAGCCACACCTTCAGTGAACTGATCACCTAACGTGCAGGTGAGCAGGCATGGAGCCTTTTTATTAGAGCAGCAGTAGATTGTAGAGCATCATCAGCAGTAGAACATGACCTTCTTCACGCTGTCCTTGAGCGCAGGGAGGGGCCTGACGACCCCGGCGCCGGCGGCGCGGGTGCTGCGGGACGTTGACGAGCCGGACTTGCGCGCGCTCGAGATGGAGCCGCTGTCGGAGCTGTCCGGCTCCATGTAGAAGCGGGCGCGGAAGGCGGCCAGGTGAGCGTAGTATGCTGGAGGGACTGCAAATGCAGGGGAAGCAGAAAACGTTTTCAGTCAGTCAGAAATGTTTATCACAGTTCAAGACTTTCAGCATGTTGGCAAACATAAGTTATTTAGGATGGCAAAGATTTCAGGGTGCGGACTTACCGATCGACACTGAGCGCGTGCACCTCGCGTAACTGCACAAGAGGTCAGAGGAGATTGTAAGATAGGAAGACAATGCTCATTGTTCGTTGATCAAGAACACGATGAGAACCGGGCGAAGGATTGCAGAACTTACGTGTAGCAAAGGTTGTTGGTGAGGGTCTGCAGTCCATCAGCAGTGAAGTTGTTCTCATCCCACAGGACATGGTAATGCGCGGGGCGGCTCGTGCCCTACCCACAATGGAGATCATTTCAACCATCACCTCATAGTCTAAATGATGAAAACAATATGCAAGTATGTCTCATCAGTTTACCTTGATGCCGGCATGGCTGCACAGGAAGAAATCAAACTCTGTAGGGTGGCAGATCTTGGAGTCAATGACAGTGCCTGCAAACAAATGAAGCAAGGCAGATCAATCATGGAGACAAGATCAGATCATGACAGAACACAGTGAACGATATACTGGCATGACAGTAACTCACCAGGAAGGATGTTGCCGCTCTTGTCGACGGTGCTTTGGTCATTGTGGTTGTGCGCAAACAGCCTGGTGTGGTGGCGCTTCTGGACCACGACGAATGTAACCAGCGGCTGGTAGTTTGCTTCTAGCGATGCGCATGCCTGAGAGACATATCAAGGAAGATCAGAATGGAGAAGGTAAAAACCCTGAAAAACAGGGGAAATTGTACTGTTTGTTACCTTTCTGATGGCATCAAGCTCATGCAGTAGAACTTGGTAGAACTGGCCTTCACTCACGCCATCCCTGCGTAAAGGCAACCACCTTTAGTCCCAGCTCTCAAGTATATATCACAAGCTATTTTTCCAAACAAACTCCAGTGTTAACACCACAGGGTTTTTTTTTTAAATTGTCTCAAAGTACTAGTGTAGAATTTCTGCAAGGCAGCATACCTATAGAAAATAATACGCTCAGGCTTTTCTCCGGTTGTTCGCTTAAAGGATATAAGAAGCTCCCTGGAAACATGTGCAGCACAATGTGTGACTTGTGCCGAAAAGTATAAAGACAAGGAAAGGAGACTGGGGAGGGTGAGGGACTGAGGTGGATACCTGACCATGCCACCATGGATGGTTCCTCTCTGAGGATCATGAGTCACATTGTACAGATCCTCTATTAATTCCTGCCTGTGAGTCTGAGCAGAGACTAGGCCAGCATACTTGGTCACCTCAGGCCAATCCTGGGAGGCCACAACCTGCAGGGCAAGGCAACATGACAGAAATATAAGGTTAATGTTTTTCTTTCAGCAAATATGCCGATCGATCGATGTAGATAAGAACAGAACAGTCAGTGAACATGGAGAGTATGAGATTGTTCAACTTACTGCAGCAATGGAGGGGCTGCTGTCTTCACCAGGATGAGGATGGGTGACATCTGCGCCGAATATGATCGTCGGCTTGTCGGTAACCAAAGGAATGCGCCTTGTCAACGCATCAGCCAGTACAGTGTTCCTTCCCCCAACCTTCATCAAGAAAAAAAGGTCACGTTAGACTCGACAACCGAAGAAACGCACAAAAAGGCAACAAGAAGTTAAACACCTACCTTGACATTTATCTTGAGAGAAAGGTTTGCCAGGATTTGCTTGTTCATCTTGAACACTTGCTTTGTCAAACAACACTGGGAAATTAGCCCAAGGTCGATCTCGCAGACACGCTTCAGGTCACCTGATATCGTCACAGTGTGAGCATTTTGGCCAAACCTAGGGCCTAACAGTTGCAGAAATAGACATAGCCGAAACTTAAGTTACCATAAAGTGAGCCATTGTTATCAGGGAGTATCCCAATAAGTAATTCGATCTCCTTGCGCTGCGGTCCAAGTGCGGTCATGGCATCATGGAACCTAGCTTTCAAACCTCTCTCCACTTGATCAGGGCGCACGTATATAACCGGAAGAACAGGCTCCAAAGCAAAGTCCTATAATTGACAGTAAGTAGCACTGTTACTGTTGTAAACAACAAGTACAGAGAAAAAATAGCATGTACAATGTGCAAAAAGTGTAACTTGAAGCATTTCAGGGGTACTTGCCATTCCTGAGGCTTGGCACATGCGAGCGAGTTCACGGCAGAATCCAGTAGCCATACTCTCTTGCACATTTCGAGCGAAGTTGACACACAGCCAGCTCCTGACTCTAGCACCATTGACCATTTTCTGCATAAAGAAAAAAATGAAAAATGAACAGTAAGGGTCGAGATAAAGTACACAAAGGCGATATGATTCATGTAGCATTAGTACGGCTGTTTGATGGATTGTTATTTTATTACCTTGTTCATCATATTCCACTGGCCAACTCTAGGCAAGCAATCCTTCTCTCTACCAGTCTCGCTGTACTTAAGCTGAAAGAATAGAAAAACAGGGGAAGCCATTGTACCAGACATTCAGAAAACAGGGGAATTACAGAAACTTGTGTAGTATGTCCAGCTCTCATGCACCATCCATTCATAAAAAAAGATCACTCGCACAATAAGGGCACTAGAACTTCAAAAGACATTGTCTCAGCACAATTGAGGTACTTCTTCCACCTACCCGAGGAGCAGGCAAAATCCGTGCCTCGACTGATGCCAGGCGCTCGCTGATCTTAATACCAAACTCTTTTGCATACGGATCATCGTGGTAAGAGTTGTGATTCACCATCTATGGACACACACACAAAAAAAGGTTATGTTCTGCATAATCATGTGAGATTGCTCACTTGCACATAGTAGAATGGTAGAAGTCCCAACAGTACTGAGAATGCCATACCTGAACTATGTCGCGCTCCCGGTCATGTGGACGCTGGCATGTCTCCTCAAGAAGAGCTCTTATCTGACCCTGGTTCAGCCTCTTGGAGTACCTCTGCCCCTCCACTATTTTGCACACCTGAATAAATTCAGTTCAGGATTGTAAGCACAGATCATAAACAATTGATTCACAGGTTTCACTGTGAAAGGTTGAAAAGAAATAGAGCAGGATCTTCACTATGTAAAAAAGAAAAGGGAGTGTATTTTCAGTATTAGCATTATACCTCCATGGGGAGGTAATTTGGACGCTGCTGGTTGCCGACTGTCAGACAGGGAAGATTGATGTGCTGGATGGCAAACCCATATGTCTCCTGAAAATACTGGACAACGGACTTCACCGTGCCCCCTTGATCAACAGGAAAACTGCGGCGAAAGAACACCATTTTTTAGGAATACAAAAATAGCACCATAGGTTTTCCAACGTACATGAATGGCTTCAGACGAAATAAGAGGGAAATCACAATGGTGCATGATGAAAAGAGGAAGCTCCATACCTTAGCTCCCTTGTTGTCTGAGCTGTTAAACCAGATATCCGGTACTTGCGCCGTATGTTGCCACGGTGAGTAACTTCCACCTTGACTCCTCTTAGGGCCTTCTTGATCTAGCGTGTTCAACGATAACATCAGCTTTGCTTGCTAACTTAGTTAATAAAAATTACCAAAAATATTTATGCAAGAAATCACAGCTCAACTAATCTATTGCGAAAATAAAGCCATTCAAACTTTGATGAGTTATCGGAAACGTATTCATCAATAAGCCGACAATGGACTGTAAATTCATTTAACATACCCAACACTACCGTCTTACAACAAAGGCTAATCTTCCTAAACAAAGTAGGACAAAATGTTGAGTACAAACTACAAAGTGTTAGCCAAGTATACCTTGACTCGCTCGGCATCCGAGAGGGACCTTGAGTGAATGTCAGCGTTCAAAAGCTGCCCGACAAAATCGAGGACAGGCAGCGGCTCGAAGAAAGATGTTGCTGACATATCTAAAAAAAGGCAGAGAAAGGAAGGTCAGTGTATATTGAGGGAAGTATAGAAGGAAGTGTGAAATCTTAATAAACAATTAAGCAACATCAAGAGGCATCTCTATCAAAAAAGTTCAGAGCAACAGAACTTTGTGAATGCATCCTACCATAAATAACAGTAACATCACATCCAAAGATAGCTGTAAGCCTGGAATGCAAAGAATGTGTATTAAAGCTATCTTAAGTTATCACTGATTATGCTAGTGAGCTAGCTGGTTTTACGTGCATTTCACATATCATTTTTCCTATCTTCAATTCATTAGAGAAGCGTTGTCTCTGAACAAACAAACAAACAAAAAAGATCATGTGTATGAGTTAGTCATGTAAACTTTCTGTACATGAGGCCTTAATGGCATAACCATAAGAAGGAAATTGGGCCACAAAATGAAGCATGGACCTAGTAATGAGCATCATAATAATTAGATACCTAACAGAAGAGTACTTGTGTTGAGTACACAAATGGATAGGGAGTTTCCCCCTCACTGAAAAGTGAAAACTACACATATCTATCAGAAGGCTTTAGTTCTGAATGTTCTGTTCAGCAGAACAACACTGATGTGAATATGAAAATGCAGCAATTTCCACTGCTAATCAGCGGGTTCACAATGTACTAGTACTGCTAGGGAATACATATGATTAGCATACAAGCATTCATGAGAAAAGGTGAGAGCTTTACCGATATTGAGCGACAATCCCATCTGAGTAGGGCGAATGGTCTGATAAAACCCGCGCCAGCTCTCAACCCCGTCGCCGAGTGACCGCCTCCTCCCGAAGTCTGGCGAGAAGAACGATCGACCATATGGCGCATATCTACGGGAAAATTCATGGAAGCATGTCATCCTTTCAGTTCCTCACCCATACTTCCTACTAGTATTACACAATGCCTAGTGATCGAGCAATGTACTGTACCTAGCTGTTGGCAGCTCACGCAGGACAATGTCAAGAACCTGCAGAGCCTCCTGGGGAGCCTCGGCCTGCCTCCCGGCGATGTACTGCTCGAGGCGGCGCAGATCGGCCCTCGCCGCGTACCTGATCACCACCTTGAAGGTTCTCTCACGCCTACATTATCACAGCAAGAACACAGTACGAAATGGAATGCCATCATAAGAAAAACAGAGGATTTTCATGTTCACATTGGAAAAGTACATGGTGGTGGTGAGAACTGAGAAGGGGAAGCAGGGCGGATCACCTCTCCTGGCCGGAGCCGTCGTCCTCCTCGAGCACGGTGATGTGGAACTCCTTGGAGGTGAAGGGCAGCGGGCCGGCGGTGTACATGCTCTTGCGGCCGTCGTAAGCCGGGAGGCGCCCGCCGAGGTAGGACGCCCGGTGCAGGCGCACCAGCTCGCCCATGACGGCGCGGCCGGACACCCGCGACGTCTCCGGCGTGATGGCCACGTCGTACTGGTGCAGGTCCTTATCCGGAAGCTCGGCGAGGAAGTGGTTCGCCTTCACCAGGCACCGCGTGCCGGCCCGCCCGCTCCCGGGGCGGTGCGGGAACTTGCACGAGCTGTCCGCCCGCGGAATCGGCGCGCGGGCCACGACGAGCTCCCTGCCGGTGCCGGTGGTGATCGAGACCGAGTCACCGCCGTCGTCGCCGTCCATGGACAGGGCGTCCAACTGGTCGGTGACGTCCTCGAGGTCGAGCTGCTCGTCGACGGCCTCGAGGGCCTCCGGCGGCGGCTGGGCCGGGGCGGGCGGAGCCGGAGCGGCGTCGTCCGTCTTTGCTTGGCGCAGCTCGGGAGCTATCGTGGCGGCCGGGCCGCCGTTGCCATTGGCGTGCGTCTGCGGTGGATGCGCCGGAGCAGGGGCGGCCGGACGCCACTGCTGCGCGGCCCCGCGAGGCTGGTAGGAGCCTCCTCCTCCTCCTCCGCGGCCGCCTTGCTGCGGGTAGAAGCCGAAGCCGCCGCGGCCGCGACCACCGCCGACCCTGCCCTGGCCGCCCCCTCTCCCGCCGCCACCTTCGTCGCCGAACCCCGGCATCCTCGGCCTCCACGACCCCATGCTCGCTCGATCAACTGCAGCCAACGAGAGAGAGACCAAGATCTCAGTCAGAACAATGGCGTGAGCGTACTCAACTATATACCATCTCGAAGCAAACAAGATATTTCTCTCGGGATTTCATCAGACCAAACAAGAAAAGATGCATCTTTCGGCTCGTTCTTTCTTTTCATCAAACTCGGGCCAAAAAAGCAGGGGAACCCAAATCCACCGGCCGCAAGAGAAGAGACGCGAATGGCAGAGATCGGAGAGGAAATGCGATGGCACTATCGTCACCTTGGCTGGCCGGAGAAGGGGGTCGATCCGAACTCCTGGGCTACAGGAGTCCCTCTCTCGCTGCTCTGTTCCTTCAGAGAGAGGAGGAGGGGTTGGGGCTGTGAGTGTGGAGTGGAGGTGGATGGGGGGGAGAAAACGCCAAGGAGATGACTTTATATGCTCTAGCTAGTGTCTTGCAGTGCACCCCACCCCACACACACCCTCCTCCTCCTCCTATTTCCTCCCTTAATTTCTCTGCTATTTGTAATTCCTGGTAGGTTATGTTTTCACAGCGCATTTATTTTGTTTATTTAAGTTGTTCATTTGATGGTTGCTGGTTCTTGTAAAGACAATCTAGTGTGTTCATTATCTTGTCAAAAAAAAAATTCTTGTGCAAACTTATAATTACTTCCCGCCGTGGCGGTACACGTGGCGACCGAGCGGGCGGCTTTGTGTAGAGTTCCTCCTCTAGCTTGTGATTAGACCTGGCCATGGGCAGCCCGGCTCGGTCGGCCCGAAAAAGCCCGGCCCGACCTTGTCCATGGGCCGGGCTCGGGCCTAGATTTCAAGCCCGACGGCCAGGCCCGTCATATTCGCGCATTAACGAGGAGGCCCGGCAGGCTTTTAGCTCATGGACCGGGCTCAGGCCCAATTTTTAGGCCCGACGGTCGGGCCGGGCTCGGGCTCGGGCCTGGGTTTTTTGAATCGGGCTTTGGTGGGCCCAGCCCAAAGCCCGGCCTGGCCCGACAAATGGCAAGGTATACTTGTGATGTAGTATTGTATTGCATCTTTTCTTTTTATGGAACTAAAATCACGACACTTATTTCCGAACTGACGGAGTATTTGTTAAGCTGCTCCGATCTTGTGCAAAAACAAATCGTTGTGGATCAAGGGTTGGATCGGCATCGTGGTTTATTTTTGCTCAATGGATTTTAAACAGCCCATAACAAGATGGTTCGTGTTTCTCGGAGAAGAAACGACAAGAGGGGCCCTTGGAAAATACAAATTGAACTAAGAACGTGGAGGCTGATTTACAAAGTATAGAAAATATATTCAATTTCAGAAAAATAATCTCTTTTAAATGGGTGCCTAAAAATGAGAAATGTTTTTATTCAAGTGACAGAAGAAAAAAGCCAAATGTCTAGATCTAGCATTGATGAATTTTTTTATGTTATAGGTCCACTCAATTGTTTTACATAACACAAGAATAAAAGTATTTATTGATGAATTTTGTAACTACTAAGAGCACATCTAGTTGTATAAGTGGAAATATTTTCAGCCGAATTCTAGAACTTTGAAATACATATTTTTTTGTGAAAATTTCAAGCTGTAGGCAACCTCAAGTGGAACTGTTTTCAAGAGATTGTTGAAACTTCAAAATACAGTTTTTTTTTAAAAAAATTTCAAGCTCTAGGCAACCTGGAGGGGAGCTGTTTTCAAAAGGATTCTAAAACTCTAAATACATTGTTTTTGTTATGAGAAACTTCAAGCTCTCGGCAACCTAAGTGGAACACTTTTTAAAGGATTTCTAAAAATTAAAATGCCTTGTTCTTAAAAAAATTAAGCTCTATGTAACCTAGATTGGGATTGTACTGAAAGGATTTCCAAAACACTGAAATATGTTTTTGTTTTTAATAATTGAAGCACTATGCAACCTATAGCGGAATTGTGTACAAAGTATTTCTAACACTTTGAACTATGTTTTTTTTTAATTTCAAACTCTAGACAACTTGGAGTCGAAATGTTATCGAAGGATTTTTAAAACTATGAAGCACTAGGCAACTTAGAGTAGAATTGCTTTCAGTGGCTCTAAAACTTTGAAATACTTTTAAAAAAATTAAGCTACACGCAACGTTGAGTGGAACTACTTTCAAAGGATTTCAAAACTTTGAAACACATTTCTTATTATGAAAATTGCAAAGCTCTGGGCAAACTGGAGTGGAACTATTTCCTTATAGCTTTGGAATATTTCCTTATAAAAATCAAGCTCTATGTTACCTAGATTAGAATTGTTTTTAAAGATTTTCTAATACATTGAAAAATGTTTTTTTGAAAATTGCATGCTCCAAGCAACCTTACGTGAAAATTTCATGTTCTAAGGACTCCTGGCATTTGAAATATGAATTTTTGTTTTAAACAGTTCAAGCCCAAGGCAACTTGGAGTTAACTGTTTCCAAGGGATTTTGAAAACTTTGAAAAAAATTGAAAAACAAATAAATTATTGGAAATCTAGTGTGGAACATTTTTGAGGGATTTCTACTAGTTTCAAATATGTTTTTGTTTTTAAAATTGCATGCTCTAGGCAACCTGCAGTGGAAATCCATATTGTTTTCAATATTTAAAGCTCTTTGAAATCTAGAGTGGAACTCTTTTCGTAACAGTGAAACATATTTAAAAAGTCAAGGTCTATGTTTTTAAATGAAGCTTTAGGTACCCTGGAGTGGAACTGTTTTCAAAGGACTTCTAAAATGTTTGAATATGTTTTCAGTTACAAACTCCAGGAAATATGGAGTGGAACTGTTTTCAAAGGATTTCGAAAACTTTGAAATGCATTCTTTGTTCTAAAAATTGCATGCTTTCGGCAACAGTCTGGAGCGGGACTGCTTTGAACAGATTTCTAAAACTTTGAAATAGTTTTCTCAAAAATTGCAAGCGTTGGGAAACCTAGAGTGGAACTAATCTAAAGGGATTTATAAAACTTTGAAATAATTTTGAAGAAAACTCAAGCTCTAGGCAACCTAGAGTGGAGCTGTTTTCAAAGGATTTCTAAAATTTTGAAATGTGGTTTTTTGTTTTGAAAACTGCATGCTCCTGGCAACCTTAAGTGGAACTATTTTCAAAGGATGCTAAAATTTCGAAATATGATTTTTTAAGTGCAAGCTCTAGAATACCTGTAGTTTGAACTATTTTCAAACTATTTCTAAAGCCTTTCAATAATTTATTTTAATCAATTTACTGGTAACCTATGGTGGAATTGTTTTGAATGATTTCTAAAAGTTTGAATTACGTTTTGATTTTGAAAACTTCAAGCTCTAGGCAACTTAGTGAGGAACTATTTTCAAAGGGTTGCTAATACTTTGAAATACATTTAAAAAAATAAGCTCTAGGTAACCTAGAGTGGAACACTTTTCATAACTTCCAAATATGTTTATCTTGAAAGAAAAGAAAATATATCTCTGATTTGGTTTCTTCAAAAATTGAAGCTCTAGATAACTTAGTGTGGAAATATTTTCAAGTATTAGTAAAATTTGCATATTTGCCTTTGGATTTTAAAATTGATTCTCTAGGGAATAGGGAGTAGAACTATTTTCAAAAGATTCCTACAACTTTCAAATACGTTTTTAAAAATTGCAATCTCTAGGCAACCTAAAGCACAAATGATTTCTCAAACTCAGAAAAACATTTTTTGTGTTCAAGATCGGAAGCTCTAGGTAACCTGGAGCACAAATCATTTCTAAAAATTAGAAATACTTTTTCTAAAATTGCAAGCTTTAGGGAACCTGAAGCAAATATGATTTCAAAGGATTTTTAAAACTCATATATTTTTTATTTGAATATTTGAAGCTCTAGGTAACCTGGAGTGGAATTGTTTTCAAACAATTTCTAGAAGTTTGAAATACATTGGTTTAAAATTTCATGCTCGAGCCAACCGAGAGTGGAACTATTTTCAAAATATTTCTAAAAATTTGAATCTTTTGTTTGTGTTTGAACTTGCAAGCTATAGGGCAACCTAGAGAGGAGCTATTTTCAAAGGGTTTCTTAAACTTTGAAATAAGTTTTTGTTTTAAAATTTTCAAACTCTTCACAACATGTAGTGGGATTGCTTGAAAAGGATTTCTAAAATTTTAGCATATGATTTTTTTGCCTTGAAATTTTCAAGCATGGTGTGGAACTCTTTTCAAAACTTTTAGATGCATATTTTTTTTTACAAAAGTGAAGCTCTGGATTAAAAAATAAATCAAACCCTATCCTCCTTAGGTTGGAATTATTTTCAAAAGATTTCTAAAGCTTTGGAATACATCTTTTCAAGTGCTAGGCATGGGATGTAGAACACCTCACGTGGCGGATGTCCTCCTTCCTTCTCTTTCTACCTCCACATCGGGGAACACACGATGGATGTGACAAAAAGGATATACTATAAGAGATACAAAAAATCATAATGGATCCTAGCCCTTATATTTTGAGAAACACGTGTTATTTTGACATGTTTGGATATTTAAAAAAAACTGTACATGTACACATATATTTTGTAGTTTATGGTGTATGTGAAATATGTGTGTCAAAATGGGGCTTCTTTAAGCATCTTTTGAGCCACAATTTTGTCTTATTGTGTTGCCTACAAATTTTGGTTTGACATACAGACATGCATGAAACATTTATAAGTATCGTGAAAAGGAACTGGAATTTTTTTTCAAACACCGATATCTCTCTAGATTTTTCTAAAATAGAGAAAACACTGAGCTCCCTCGAAGGATAAGATGCGGCGCTCGAAGAGATTAAATCGTCCTGGTTTGGACCATGGAGTTGGTCGTGACGGTACGGCCTGAGTAGAGTCACACACCTGGTCAAAAGATATCAAACGTTGTCTATAGTTTTTTAAAAATAATTCAGGGCCTAGACAACCTAAAGTCGAACTATTTTCAAAAGTTTTCTAGAACTTTGAATTTTTTTTATTTTGAAAACTACAAGCTATAGGCAACCTAGAGAGAGAGACTGAAAGGATTTCTTAAATTTTGAAATACGTTTTT